CATTTCCTGTCTATTTCTACGTTTTTTTTTCCAATTTCCAGCCTCACCGCAATCTTTCCCAGCTTCTCAGCTCCTATCTACCCCGGCTCAAATTCAAATTTTCAAACGCAATGAGTCAACCGGAGACGCTTCCCATACACTCTCACCCCTTCCCTTCGTTTCGCTAATGTCTTTTGGCGGAATTGGGCACCCCTTGAAGGGGCGGAGGCGAGAGAGGCAGAGAGAGAGAGAGAGAGAGAGAGAGAGATGAGAGAGAGAAGGGCATGAAAATGCACCCCCGAAGACTGTCCAAACAACAGCTTCCCCCAATGGATCCGGGGGTCCGGCGCTCTTGGGATGCAAATGGCGATCGATCGATGGGTGCCCTCTGGGGGTGTCGGTTGACATCATTGACCTGTATATTCAAAAAATGTACCCGCCAGCGGGCTGTTAATGGGAGTTTAGTATACTTTTTCTTGCTCCATCGATTTCAATTAAGTTTTTAATGTATTCCCTGGTAGAGCAGAGTTATCCGTTTCGATACCTAGATTCTGCTCAAAAACGAGGTTTTTATGGGTGTGATATTATTAATTGTTAAATGTTTAAGGTACCGGCTTGAGTTATACTTTTTAAGTCCTATCGTCTAAAGTATTTGTATAATATTTTTAATATATCTATTTTTACGCTTTTTTTCGTGCCCTTTCCGGGCGACTCATCCACTCATCCGAATTGACGATATTTATCTCCTAGCGCCCATCTTTATGGCGGTGTTTTTGTTTGACCTTATTCCGCCTGTGAGAGCATTCCGACAGATCCCTCTCACTATGACGGGCTGGCGCCTCCATGATTTGAATAGGACAGGCGCCAGCTGGCTGGTTGCCAATTTTTAGGGTTGACTTGTTGAGGCGCTATTTTTTTTTGTTTTTTCTTTCTCTTCCTGTATTTCGCTCCCGCCTCATTTTAAGGTCGTGGGGGCTTTTCTAGTTTTGTAAAATCGAACCAGCTATCCTGGAAATTAAAACGACTATAAATCTGCCCCAGCTTCGACAATTTCTCGACAGCTACGCGACCATCCAAAGGCCACGACAAGGTCTCCGAATTTTTCTGACCTTGATTCTGCTGGTTTTGTGATGAATTTGAACGTTTTTTTGCATCTAGTGATGTCTAGTTCGATGTTATCGCTTCCCAGTCCCTTTAAGATTAAGATTATATACTGAGGAAACCTTCTAGACTTTCAGCTAGGATTTTAAAGGTGCTAGGAAACACGAAAAACGACCCATCCATTGACTAGGTCTCGAAAGCTATGGGAATGGGCAGGCGACGCGTGCTCCAAATTAATATTTTGATTGCGGGCCATGATCGACAAACCGCAAGACTTCCACGACAAGATTTGGTGCGGTTCGTAGCTGTCGAGACCTAGTCGTTCGATTGGGTCGATTCTGTGGCTTTATAGTCCCTTTAATATCGATATATGATTGGTGATATCTTCCAAATCATAATTCGCCTGCTATCCGCGCCGAAAACCAGTTGTCACCACCCCTTTAAGCTTCACCCCCGCTTCAAACAGTTTACGAACACCTTCGCCCTCACCCTGCCCCGTATTTCAGCGCGTTCGGGTTGTTTGGCCCCGAAGGAGCTGTCGGGCCGCGCCAAGAGGTGGTTGTGGTGTGTTGATTGTTTCGGGTTAGCGCCCCCCAAGCAAAAACCCCCCAAAAAGCAGCTTGTCCACCTCCAGATGAACCCAACCCCTTCGTTTTCTCGTGTTTTTGTATACCCGCTATTTGTCTATGCTTCCAAGGCGGATTTGGTTACAGGCGAACGACGCGCTGCGCGCGCTTTCTAGAAGAGGTCCCAGAAGACATGCGCTGCCTGCTGGGTGACCCTCGAGTGCTTTTCGCTTCCGCGCACCCCGCGCGCGCCTCCGATTCCACAGCACCACTTTTTCCGCTCGCTCAGCCACGAGACAGCCAAACAACGGGGGCTAATCACCCGCGCGGGACCAGGGGGAGCTAAACCAGCGCGGATTATGAGAGGTTTTTTTGTGGAAGAGGAGTGAAGGACCGGAATGGACATGAAGAAGCTTGTTGGGGTTTTGGAGACGATGGAAGTCTGGGATAAGTTATGCTTTACGTACTAATGATACTTTATGCTAATTTTAAGGCAAATTTTAGATATCTCAATTAAGCATCTTAAGTATATTCTAAGATACCGTCGTGAGCTCAAGTTTGGCAACTTCAGAATAAGACCGGGACTTGACTTATTTTAGCGTTAGGGTATCTATTAATTGGGTAAGCGATACCCCCAGATACCTATGGCCTGTTTAACGAATTTATTTGTAAACATATTCTGTAGCAAATTTGAGAGCTTTTACTATTCATTTTTCTATGCTATAATCACACGTTTTGCATTTTGGTCTTGACCAGATAGTCTACCACTTTCGCTTTTGGCCAAATGGCCATCTCCTGAGTTTTTGATGAACTCCTTAAACTTCTGCGGCGAATCTTGATAGTTTTCTTGACGTCTCATTAGTGATTTTTGGTAATTTCGAAGAAATTGGGCGAGAACAATCGGATTATGAGCTTTTTGCCGCCGTGTTAGAACGTTCATGTCTTTTCTAGACTGTTCTCTGACCCCCGGCTTACGGTACTTTTCCTCACCGTCCTCGTTGTTGCCGCCCTAGACGCCTTTTTCCGCCGGGGGCCCCCAAAACCGACTAATCACCCGCGTCGGGAGGGTTGGTCAACAACACCTGTGCTGTCCGACTGTCCTAATCGCGTAGTTCTTTTTTTGGCCGTAACTCTCGGAAATTCTGAAATTTTCATGTTATATTTATTGCGTGGAATTTTAATTTTTCCAAAATGCGCTGAGTTTTTTCGTTAATACTACCAAAAGTTAGTATAACGTAATGACGTAGATCCGCATTCTTCCCCTGAAAAATTCTTTATCTACGCCAACGCGGATTTCCTTGCACGGTCACGCCTTCTCCCCTGCAAGTTTTTCTCATCGGTTAAGCCTTGCTGGAATTTTATCAAAAACAGGGCGTTGCCAGGGTCTTTTTGATCTTTTTCTGGACATGGGAACGCTGATAGTTCCTTGAAGCAACCTGCATTTTCCTAGATTCTTTTGTGTTATTGGAGCGAAATCTGTTCTTTGATTTTCATTTCTTTGTCCACCTAACAGCTCTTCCTTCAAAGCGTCCGGTTACGCTAGGTTAAAAGAAATAGAAAGCTGAAAAATCTGCCTCTACTTTGCGACTAGGTCTCGACAGCCACCAGGTTATCAGCAAAATTCTTACTTCCCTGTTTTCATAGCATTTTTCAAGTGTCTCTTGGTGTTTCACGAAACTGTCGAGACCCAGTCGACCTGATGGGTAGTTTCTGACGTTTCACAACTCCTTTAAAGGGCTAGTTCAACTTTTGGAGCTTGGGCTGGTACCTTGGGAAACTATGGACGTAGGCACAGTGCGCCCGAACAGTCCCCCATTACGGCAGCTATTAGAGATCGGAGAAATGAGAGAGGCGCGGACACAAAAACGCAGGGAGGTTTCGACTCCTGGTCACGGAAATTCTTTTGTTTTATTGGCTGAACTAGCCCTTTAAAAGCCAAAGATTTGCGCGAGTTTCAGCGTTTTTGTCGAACTTTCCGTTCAGCTTCGTTTATCAAACAAAGGGCGTTCCCAGCCCTGCTTTTTCTGTAGATTTTTGTAACGGCAAATAACCAATCTATCGCTTCTATCTGCTCGCCTCACCAGTTTTATTGTTTGTTCTTTTCCGCCCCGATTCGATTCGAAAGGTTTGCTATCAGAGCTTAATCGCTTTTCAATTGGCCCTCTCTTCCGCCCATGGATTTTCCGTTGCTGTGTCTTCGGCAACCCGTATTTAACGCCCTTTCGCGCCCCTTCACACGCCCTCCTGTAAATAACGCCCCCTGTATTTGGCGCCCCCTGTATTTAACGCTCTCCTGTAAATAACGCCCTGCAAAACGAGCTTTTTCCTGTAAATAACGCCCTTTTCGTGGTCATTTGGAGGGCGTTAAATACAGAAGGGCGTTAAATACAGGGGGCGTTATTTACAGGGGGCGCGAAATACAGGAGGGCGCGAAAGGGCGTGAAGGGGCGTTAAATACGGGTTGCCGTGTCTTCAGCATTTTTACGACTGGCTAGTTGATGCCTTTTTTGGGGCATAAAATTGGTGGAGTGACCAGTCGTTAAAATGTTACGGCTACTAGAGCGATAAAATTAGAGACGAGACAAAACTTATAACGGCTTAATTTGATGGCGGTTTTTCAATAGCAATGAATTGCTAGCAACTGATGAAAAATCTGAAATGGCAGTTCTTCTAATATTTTATCATTTAGCTTCCGGTCTGGCTCTATCATTTTCTCACTCTTCTCTCACTCTCTCTCTCTCTCTCTCTCTCTCTCTCTCTCTCTCTCTTTCTCTTCATTCCAATTCCGACGGCGCGTCCTCATAATATTAATGCATCAACTTCCGTATTGCCCCAGGTCTTGTTTTAACAGTCATCAGATCATCTGTGATGCAAATTGCGCTGTTCTTTGATCTCATAATCATACAAACGACAAATTTTTCGGAAAAGCTTTTTTAGCCAAATGATTTTTATCTCTCAAGAAGTTCGGTATTTTCTTATTTTTGTAATGTCTCTTTTCTTGTCTTGGCTATAGAAAATTTACATTTTTCCAGAAACTCCAACCCATCAAGAAATACAGCAAAAACCACACGTTCGATGTCGTCGGTGGACGTCTCGGATTTGCCGAAGGGCTTCTGGGAGATTGGGAATTACCGGTGAGTTTAGCGTTCAAAACTTCTCTCGGCCTCGAAAGTCGTTCAGCAAATAAATCATCTACTTTTCATTTGCAGCCACAACGTGCGGCGCATCAAAGATGGCGTTGATCAACTGGACGATTTTTCAAAGATGTGCCGCGAACGGGCAGAGATCGAGGGGAAATACGCAAAGACACTGCAGACGTTTCATCAGAAATGGAAGGCTCATTTTGAGCAAACGATGACGCCGAGTGCTACAAGGTATAGTAGAGATTTAGTATAGTAGCTTCATGGAATTTAAAGGCACTTTCAAGGCAGCATGAGCTGTACACCAACCGGCAAAAGTTGATCACATTTCTTTTCTTGAACTTCTACAGCGATTTCCCGGAAATTCTGGGCTATAAAATAGCTAATTTACAACGTAATATAGGCAAAGTACATGCTGTTCCGAATTTTACAATTTTGCAGCGGGGATAATTAAGTTTTGCTGTAAAAATTGGCTTGAAGTTTTACCTAAAAAATGCGGAAAAAGTAACGTTTTGGTGGGATGTATGCGGAATTTTTAGTAAAAGGATAAAGATCATAAAGGATTGAAAATTTAAGGCGCCATAAAAAAGAATCCTGCTTATTAAGCTACCGTAAAAATATAACTTTACTTAACTTTTTAGACAATGCCTAACTGACCTCCTGAACGAGAGCGACCATTTGGCAAATTTGCATGCGATGGCGAGGGATAGACTGTGTGATGAGGTCGGTTTATGGATTCTGACCTCGCTTTTTTATAGGCTTGAATCTATGCATTTTTTAGCATCCTTTTAATTGATATCATGATTCAATGCAGCTTTACTAGATCTTTTTTCAGATCGTAAAAACCCTGGCCCTATTCCGCAAGGAAAACCATCACCCATCAGCCTTCAGGGCCCCGAAGGAAATCAGGGAAATCGAGGATGCTTTTGAGAAGGTATGAAAGTTACCTTAATCCCGGAATTATCCGATTTTTAGGCCCAAAGACAGTGGAAGAAGCTACACGAGAAAAATGAGTCGGCCAAGAAGTCGTATTATAACGGTAAGCCTAAGCTAAGCCTGAAACCAAGCCAAAAACCTAGGCCTAAGCCAAGCCTAAGCCAAGCCTAAACATAAGCCAGGCCTAAACCTGTCCCTTAAAACTTGCATCCGAAAAAGCCACATTTTCAGCTTGTCGAGCCGAACGCAGCGCAGCTGTCCTCCTCGCCAACGCGCAGCAAGATACCTCCGTTTCCGTAGATGGCACTCAGAAAATTCGGGTTTGTAGCGTCATTCAATTTTCGTATTTTCCTTTTTCTAGGATCGCTGTGACAAGGCCCACGATGAGGTGCAAAGAACAAAACAAAACTATGAGAAATATTTGGCCGAGATTGAGACCTACAAGGTAAGCAATCGTGGATTAAGATATTAAACTTTGGGACGCGACCAAAATCCCGGAGTAATTTTTAGACGCCCTACATGGAGAACATGACGTTCGTCTTTGCCAAATGCCAGCAAATGGAGCTGAAACGGCTAAAGTTCTTCCAGGAGATGATCCAGGGAACGGAGCACGTCTTGTTGGACTTGATTCGGAATAACAAGTGAGTTTACGTTTTTTTTAATTTTTCTAAATTAGCGCAGCCGAAGTAAGCAGATAGCGGGTTTGAAACTCCATTAAACTCAGAATTAAACTCGAAATTTCAGATTCAACCAATTACACGATCAAATCAACCTGCATCTCCGGGCCACCGACGACGCCGTCCTGAATCAAGATCTGAAGACCTGGAGCCAGGTGTATGGAGTGGACGCGCAAATGCACTGGCCGGGCTTTGAGGTAATAATGACTGAAAAAATAAAACCGCAAAACGCAAAATGATCTCGGGCGGGATCGAACCGCCGACCTTCTGTGTGTTAGACAGATGTGATAACCACTACACCACGAGACCGATGCGTGATAGGGAGAGGGGAGGGTTGACAAGGGAGGGGAGGCCCTACCCGGGCAGGGACTGACTGACTGACAGGCCAAACAGGGATGCCAGTAAGTTTCCAAATCAGCTTTTCAAAGGAAACGGAAGTCGTATATGAAAACGGAAGTAGACTGTAAAAAAATACGTTTATAATTTTGCTATAAAGTAATGATTGACCATACTCAAAGTACCTTTTCAGGAGTACCGTCCCGAAATGCGCGAAATCTCGGCCCGAAAGAGCTCGACAAAGGACAACTCTGGAGGCGTGGTGCTGACACGACAAATTATCAAGGATGAAGACCCACTCCCGCAGCGTACAACGGTGGAAAAATTCCGGCAAATGGACAAGATGTAAGTGACTCAACGAATAGCGGAGTTTTTAAAGTCTTAGAAGTCGAATCACTCACTTTTTTTAGCGAAACCGGAAGTCACAGAAGCCTGCCGGGGAGCAGCCAGAATAGTGATAGTGGAAAACAAGGGGTAGGCTACCTTTTGAAAATTTTCAGGTTCAAAACAAACTTTTTAGAGCAGCAGCGACTCTGACACAAACACATTCGACTCCCAGAAGAGCGGCCAGAAAAATAGAATTAATAAGGTATGGTTTTCCGAGGAATAGGAAATTTCCAGAAGTTTAACGTTTAAATTTGTATAAAATATATTTATTTAGTTCTTAAGGTTATTTTTCGTCTCGTAAAAAATAAAATGGACAATTTCTTAAAGTAACGGTATTAAAAGATGCAATAAAATTTTATTTAAACAATTTAAGGAATGATTTTCAGTTCCAAAAAGCAACAAACAACAACTACCCTCAAGAAAACCGATGGGACTCCCTAAAATCTGCCCAGCACCACCAGCCGTTAAATCAGTCAAATTCCCTGGTTTCGTCCGGTGCGTCCACCCTTCCTCCACAGTCACAGACGCCCGACTCGGAGAAGTTCAGCGAGTTTGATGATTATCAGAAGGTAGGTTGAATTGATGTTCTTTCTCTCTTTATTTCTCTCACTCTCACTCTCTTTCCCAAATACAGTAAAAGGACCAAGGAATTGTACGTTAAACCCTGTGGTTATAGCAACTCGGCACGGTACTCTACGACTACTCGCCAATCGAAAATGACGAGATTGGACTGAAAAAAAGGTGAGCAAGGCTGACCGATCAAAGTGATGCTCGTTAAGCTCACAAAACTACTTAACGGAACCACCAATACCGAAAATCGACCCCTAGTCTCAGCTGGGTCTCGACATTTCCGCGCGGATTTGACACTGAATTAAAAACTGAATTGAAACCTATCGCCTTTATTTTGGGCAGCTTTTCAAAGACTGGGATGTGTATTTTGGATTTTCGCGTAGGCGTCGAGTCCCAGTTGTCTGAAGGGGTTAATTTTGGAGCTTCCGGATACCGTTAAACATTTGTATCCAATTGTAGCTAAGTTAATAACCATAAATTTCAGGCGAAACCATCGAAGTCCTCTCGGAGCCCGACTCACTTGGCTGGTGCACTGGCAGGAAAAACGGGCTTACCGGCCTGTTTCCGGCCAGTTACGTGCAAGTTTAACCTAAAAAATGCCTGAACAAATTGTCTTTTTTTATGTCCTTTTCTGCCAGATCTGTCACTACTCAATCGCTACCATCCGATATTTGCTCCGTTTTTTACTTGACTTTCACTTGGTTTTTTTTTGTAAAATTTGCCATTGTCCAGCCATTAACTTTCACGTAAATTGTAGTCAATTCCCAATGCCCGGCTCCTGAACTATACAAAATGTGATCATATTGATTGAATTCTTGTAAAAATAAAGAAATAAATGTTTTATCAATAAGAAAACACCGTAATTCTAATAAATTACTAACATTTTTTTAAATAACAGGAACGTATCTCGAGGACGAGAACTTTTGACGAAACAGCTCTTGAGCCTTATGGAAATCTTTGAGCGATGGTAGCTTCATCGGGCTGCAGTACATATACTAAAATTAATTGTCAAATTAGTATCCCGTTTTCGCACCCGATTTGCCAATCCTGTTAGCGACTCGATACGGCAGCGATCTGCGCCGAAGACGGAGGTGTATTTTTTGAGAAACTGTAAAACCATGGGTGTAAGCTATAGAAGTCTTACTTCTTTTTCGATTTTCAGCTTCTTATGGCCAATTACTAGTAGATTAAAGACGATTATACCTAAAAACGAATCGATATCGGGGAGTGAGTGAGAGAAAAGAGAGAGCGAGAGTGTGAGACAGAGAGAGAGCCAGCGAGAGAGCTAGAGCTAGATAGAAAGATATTGAGAGAGGCCGTGAGTGAGAAAGAGAGCGACAGCGAGCGAGTGATAGAAAGAGAGACAGACATCAAGAGTGTGTGAAAGAGAATCAGAGATAGTGAGAGAGCGAGAGAGAAGGAGAGAGAGAGAGAGAGAGAGAGAGAGAGAGAGAGAGAGGAGAGAGAGAGCGATAGAGAGAGGGGGAGAGGGGGGGAGAGAGAGAGAGAGAGAGAGAGAGAGAGAGAGAGATGATACTTACCGCTCTTCCGGATAAAACTCTTCAAATTCCTGATAAAAGCCTTTTCAGTAAAAAATTCGATAGGGCAAAGCATGTCATGCTTTGCATCGTTGTAACAAGCATCTATCAGAATAGCGTCAAAAATATTGTCTAAAATGAGCCATCTTTAGGGACTATAACCCGTAAGCTACCATTCCCAAGCGCCAGCTGATCTTTTACGAATTGGACGCCGTCTTGGATTATAATGCGGGAAAGCTTGTCTTCCACAACCTGAAAACGCTTTCAAAAGTGCCATATTTGCATAAAATATTATGTATTTAAGGCTTACATTAAACTGCTCGATAGCCATCGGTTTCGTAGCCGGGTTGATGTCGACCATCGTCACGTTCATCTGAAGTAATTTTTAGACGGTAGCTTACATGCATTCAGAGTATCGATTTTCCTTTCGTATAAACTACGATGCCCTACCGCTCAATAGACTATCGTTGATAAATTAAGTCTAATAACTCGCATTCGGAAACGTGGCCGACACAAAATTATTCATCACCCCACCGCCCAGCCCGATGAAGAGTATATCACCAGCTACCGTTTCTGAATTAAAGCAGTGTCTCAAGGTATCGAAATTAGCTTACCTGTCATCCCCAAGGACTGAGTAGCAAATATGGCAGATATCATCGAGAATAGGTACCCGATTTTTGGGATGAATTTCTTATCGACCTTCCAGCGGCTGGTGTCGGTATTTTCGAGGGTGTACTCTAAAATGAATACAAAAGAGTATGGTGTATATAATTTAACTTCATATACTACTTCCGTTTCCTTTGAAAACTGATTTGGAAACTTACTGGCACCCCTATTTGGGCTGTCAGTCAGTTCGTCCCTCCCCCCGGTACTCCCCTCCCTTGTCAACCCTCCACCCTCCCCGTCACCCATCGGTCTCGTGGTGTAGTGGTTATCACATCTGTCTAACACACAGAAGGTCGGCGGTTCGATCCCGCCCGAGATCATTTTGCGTTTTTGGATTTGTAAGGCTTCAGAAGCTTCGGAGATACTTTTTGCCGATTAATACGTTTTAATTTGACGCTCATTTGGCCGGCGAATCCGGTATCAATTTATGCTGTCGGCACCCTCCGTTTACCCATTTTTCTTGTAAAAAACCTACCTGTTGGTATCAATAACGCCGCTTCCACCAATATCACATTTGCCAGTGTGTTGGTTTCACCACTCTCGCTGGACCGTCGCTAAATTCGGCTGAATTTGCATAATTTTTAAATACCAACGTCTTTCTACCAGTATCCCAATAATCGCTAACAATAAAACACGTTTCCTTCCAGCAATATTCCCCACGAAAGGCTGGGCTAGCAATCCGTTCCTGAATTAGCAACGTTAAGGTAAACTTCAAAACTTAAAAGTTTTGGCTTACCTTGACGATATCAAGAAACTGCTCTCGAGACATTTCGTTTTTGGGTTGGGCCGGAGTTTGAAATTGATAGATGGCGAACATGAGGATGGCAGAAAGGATCTGAAAAGTCGATTTAAATAAATATAACTATCTTCTCGCTCTCTCTCGCTCTCTCTCTCGCTCTCTCTCTCTCTCTCTCTATCGCTCTCTCTCTCTCTCTATTTCGCCATCAACATTTATCTAACGCTTAATCAATTACCACATTAACTACGCAAACTTACCAACAACGGCCATCGCAGCCCCCTTGATCGCATGGCCGTCGCACATTGCCTCCTCTTCTTCACGCAACTCTGCAAAAAATTGAGACGATCATTATTTAGGAGTGAGCCATCGTGATGACTGGCCCTTTCTGAAACGCAGGCCATGTGCAGCATTTTTGAGGCCGGAGAGGCATTGGAGAATTGGACAAAATATTCCAGGGATTCCAGGGGAAGCCGACTATTTGTGGTGGCCAGTGGCAGCCGCCAGGAAAAGCCAATCCAGAATAAAAATTAGGCCAATACTACCTGGCCCCAAGTGTTGGCAGGTTGCCAAATGGTATTTGTAAAGACAATTACGGTTTTTTGTGCTAAACTCTAGCTTTAAAGTTCTATAAAGGGTTAGATTCGCGTGTTTTTGTCAATTAAGACGATTTATAGAGAGCCATTAGCAGCTAGGCTACCTGATCGGGCCCAGTCACTAGTAATGCATCGTGTTCTCCAGAATTCAACATCGGAAGTAGTATAGCCTTGTAAAATGGGGTCCAACTGTCCAGCCTTTCGATCCGGGCCTGATTCCGCTTGCAAAAATATATGCGCACAATAAGTAACCCCGGCTGTTTCGAAGGATCGATTCGAGGCGGAAAACTTTAACAGTAAGTTTTCAAGTATAAAAAAGGTTCTTTATCAACTCCGCGAATTTTTTGGAACGACAGGTGGAAATTGATAGTAGATTTATTAGCACAATTCAGAATATTGATGATTGATGGAGTTCACCCTCAGATTTTTTTCAGTCTTACAGATGACCGTCGGCCTGGCATCTTGAACTGCTCGAAAACCCTTCCGGTTATTTTTCTGAGCGGTGGTTGAACTCCTCTGCAGTTCACCAACTATCCTGGGATGCGATTTCGATTGTATCTTTCAATTCCGTTCCACTGAACGTCTTGAAAACCTTGGTATGGCCTTCTTGGAGTTAGGTTTTTGAGTCTCACCGCGGCCAAAAAGAAATCCTGCAAAGTAAAATACCACATTGTATCTTTTTTGACCTATAGAAACCTTTTGTTGTTGATCCCAAGATCCCCAAATTCCGTTTCACAACCCAAGGCCAACTGAACAAGGGGGGGGGGGGGCTATGTCGTTACGCCCTCCAGCTGTCCTTGCCCGGTTTTTGCATGTTTTCAGGAAGTCACGCGCGATGGGCTGCACGTTTCAATGATCATGGATGAAAATTTGGGCACGTCAACTTCATCGAAATAACGCTTAATCGGTGAAGACAGGTTTTATCATCGATACAGGTCCGGTAAACTCGCCTGTAAGCGAAAATCATCATAAATGAGCCTTGGCACTTCAGATGAAATAAAACTCCGTTAAAACTGCAAATTACGGTTCAAAAATTAAAAAAACCTAGTCTCATTTGATGCAAAATTTCCATACCGAATCGCGGCTAACGCTAACGCAAGGTTCATCTTCCGCTTAAACACAGGAAAACTCCTCTGGAAATGAAAAATTCTAAAACTTAGCTGATCAGCTGGATTTTTGGTAAAAGTAAACTGCTACGTAAAACATTGCTTAAAAGGCAAAAACTGAAAGTTCAAGCCAAAATTAAATTTAGGGCGTTGTTTTTGTCGAAATCGGGCTTAACCAGTTACGACCGGTTTTTCTAGCGCTAGGCAACCATCAAAAAACGCGCTGAAGGGATAGGACTCTTTCGGGACTTTTCAGGATAATTTTAGAGGAACCTGAGCAACCTTTGAGACCAAAAATACCGCTTGAAAATCTCAAAATGCCAATTGATGCACTTTTCCGGTTTTCGTTCCAATCGAGGCTAACCGCTTACGACAGCTTTTTCTAGCTCTCGGCAACCACCAACTTTTCTGGGAAAGTTTCAGGCTAATTTTTAGTTTTTTTAAATTTTAGGCTGCTTTTTAGTTTCTTTTTTAGCTTAGTTTATTTTCAGGTTTTGTAGAGCTCTTCCGACTAAAAAAATCCACTTGGGACCTTAAGAACCGCCACTTTGGTACATTTTACCCGGTTTCCTAATCACTCGCTAATCATCACACTCCCCAGCCAGACAAATCTTTGCCCTGATCTTCCCCCACAACGTGCTCACACCAGATACGCGACGAAAATGTTCGTTTTGCCCCGATCGGCGGTGGCGCCGTCTGCAAAAAAAATGGGACAACAAAAACGGTGGTTGGGGTAGAGAAATGAGAGAAGAAGCACCGGTTGAAAGGGGTCAACAATCGGGTAAAACCCCGTGGACCCCGGTTGGGCCAGCGGCGAGCCCCCTGTTTGCCAACCACCCGGTTTTTTCAAAGCGTTCTTTGCGGGGCGTTTCGTTTGCAGCAGAGTTCAATCGAGCAGTTTGGGTGTTCATCAACTTTTTTGATGCTGTACAGGCTTTAAAAACAGCGAAAAACAAATTTTTATAATCTCCATAGATATTTTATAGGTAGATAGAGAAGTTTATAGGATTTAAGGTACATTTTAAAGGTATGCTGGTTGGCTTAAATAACATAGCTATACGCAAATTAAAGTAAATGATTTGTCATAAGCAGGGTTGGTCACGAAAAGAGCGGGAGCTGGGAGCGGGAGCTGATCTGCGAGCCCCGCTCAAGAGCGGGAGCGGGAGCTGAAAATCCTTAGCTCCCGCTCAGCTCCGGCTCTTGAGCCGGCTCTTTTGGAAAAGAGCGGGAGCCGAACCCCGCTCAACTCGAACCGGATCCTGCAAATCAGATATCTATGCAAATAAGGCAATGCAAGGTCAAAAATATTCAGTTTTATTGGAATTTTGGGAAATTTGCATAAATAACTAATTTGCAGCATCCGGTCGAGTAGAGCAGGGTTCGGCTCCCGCTCTTTTCCAAAAGAGCCGGCTCAAGAGCTGGAGCTGAGCGGGAGCTGAAAATTTTCAGCTCCCGCTCGGCTCCTGCTCCCGCACAGCTCCGGCTCAGAGCCGGCTCTCAGAATGACCAACCCTGGTCATAAGTTTTTTGAACAGTATTTTCAGTGATGCTCGATCGAAATTTTTTCAAACTACGCATTTTTCAAATTCTATATATTTTCCTATGTTATAAAACCGACAAAAAAACCGACGAAGGTAGTTAGCTAACCCTAAATACGTAAAATAAACTAAGATGTCGTATTTCTGGATTTTTGAGACTTTACTAGCTCGAAAAATGGGCCTAGTCGAAGCCATGAGTGGAAAAAAATCGGCAAAAGAACATGTGAAAACCTCTAAAGTCTAACATATAGCTTGACTCTAACTTTAGCGGCGTTTTTCAGCGACTTTTAGATGCCTTTTGATACTGATGCGGATTTCCCACAAAAATTATGCATGACTCACAGCAATTAGCCACAGCTTACCCGAAACACCCCTAAAAAGCGCCTGCCTTTTTGCCCTTGTTTTCCAAATTTCTGCTGACCAAAGCCCACTTCTCACATGCATTTTTACCCTCCTTTTTACTCTCTTCGCTGCCTACCTACATGCGTCCCAATTAAGATCAGCTGATGCTGGCTGCGTGCATGCGTTAATCTTTTTGTTTTTCGGGGATGTTTGCGTGTGTTTTTGCGTAATCCTTTTTCCTTTATTGTAAAAGATTTGGAGTATTGCTATGCCTATTTATTTTTGAGATAGTAAAGCCCTTTTTTTAGCTTTTTCTAATCTGAAATTTGATAGCGATTTGCAGGTTACTTCCAGATTTGGACCCGCCAGTCAAGTAGCCGGCTGGTGGGCCCACCCTAGCCTTGTCAACCCTCACCTCTCCCTGCCGCTCACGGTCTCGTGGTGTAGTGGTTATCACATCTGTCTAACACACAGAAGGTCGGCGGTTCGATCCCGCCCGAGATCATTTTGCGGTTTTTGCTTTTGCTTTTTGTAAAGTTTATCGATTACAGGGTGGCAAACACGCTGCCGAGGCAGGATTTTGTTTTTTTCGACACGAACTTATATTTCTGGAACTTTCCCCCAGGGCTTGCCCTGCCTTAACGGTGTTTTTACTCTAAAATCACTAAGATTGATGGATCTACATACTTTTTCATATTATATTCGCGTTATTTTTTAATTTTAGTATTTTATTTTGACAGACTTGACTTTGTTTTTAATTCTAATATTGTTAAGGTACCTTCATGTAAAAAATAAAATTCTCCGGCTTGGTCTCGGAGAAGCCAGTGACTTTTAAGTAGAAACAAAATCATAAAGTCAGAAAAGCCGCAATTTCTATTTCGTTAATTTGTCTTTTAGTTATTTGTGTTATTTAACAAAATTTGTAAATTTTAAATTCTACGCTTCCTCTTTCGAAATTTTTTACTGGTTTCCGAAGCTCAATTTAAATTTAAATAACCAAATGTCGTTCAAAATGCTGCCACTCAAAAAACGATTAGATCCTTATTCTACAAGAAATCGCCCCCCAGCCCACTAGGATTACGGTACCCTACCCCCTGTGAAAACGCATCCCCTCGAGGGCGCCGTTTTTCTGCAAACTCCCAGGCTTTTCAAACATTCCCCCCTGCGGCTCGCAAAAATTCCCCGGGAATGGTCAGCAGTAGCAGCGCCTCCACAAGAGGCGAGGCGACCCCCAGTTTGTTTTTTGCCTGTGTGTGTGCGTGCTTCGGGGGGTTGTGTTGGTGTGGTGGTGGTGGAGGAGGAGGAGGCACGTGAGCCTGCCCCATCGCGAGCCGGCGAACAGCTCGGGGCACGCGACGCGACCGCAGCTGGCCGTGTGCCAGGGGGTCTGGGCTTTCCTCGGAAAGGCGGATCTCTAGGCGATTTCTGTGCTCTCTAGCTTTGGGTTAGTATTTCGTTGCTGGCGATGTGATCCGCGAGTCTTTGGGACTCACTCACTCTCTCTCTCTCTCTCTCTCTCTCTCTCTTTCCCTCCCGCAGGGTAGTCTCCCTGGGTTCTCTAACCCTGGCGCACTATTTCGCTTCCACTCTGTCCTGCGCCGTTCTATCTGGTCTCTCTCCCCTTCTCTTTCTCTCTCGCTCTCCCTCTATCTCTCCCTCTCTCTCTCTCCCGCACCGACATCCCGCGACATACAAACGGTCACCACCCCGGGTGGCCAGCAGCCAGCAGCCCCTTCCCCACCCGCCCTCTTTGGATCGTGGGCCCCCACCTAAAGGCCCCCCGTTCTCAGCTGATCCACCCCCCGTGCGCGGCTACCGTACCCGGGTCGCATTTTAGCGCCGACACGTCAACCTCCCGTTTTGCCTCGAGGGCACTGCCCCCTGCTTTTGATGAATCGCAAGGTTTTAGGGCATTTTTAGGGGCGTCGGCCTTTTTTGGGCACTAGCTACGGGGGTCAGCGGCCCATTATCCACGGGGCTTTTCAATTTGGTCACGCGACATCACAGCTATTCGTCATGCGCTTCTATGTTTCGTTTTTGGCGAGCGAATAGGAATTAATTTTGGGGGGGAAGCAGCTGCGTTTTTGGGGATGACGAATTCGTTTTGATGTTTTTCGAAAGTGTCCTATTTTGATAAATCTTTATATAAGTTTTTATGGTTCGAATAAG